TAAATAAATAACTAGAAAAGGTAAAGAGCAAGCATTTTTTAAAGGATAGGGTTTTTATGAGTCGGCTCACTCATATGTACCCATGTGGCTCCCCTCTAAAATCCATTTTAGATATGGATTTTTTATGTAAATTTATTTATTTTTTATGGATTCATCATCTAGCCAAGGGGATCATGAATATGAAAAGAAATGAAAAAAGTAATATTAAAAATATAATCTTTTTGGTATTTTTTGGTGCACTGCCATATGGAATCTAGGGATAGTACACTTTATACAACGTCCATCTTTAAGATGGACGTTTGTGAGTTAGCAGGCTCTTGCACCTTCTGACTCACACAACACTTTTCCTTTTTTAAAACTTAAAATGTATTTTAATCCATATTCATAATTGTGGCGGCCGACATTATAGACTTCTGGATTTGGGATATGTTAATATTATTAAAGTGTATTTTTTAGAAACCATACTAGTTTTGTGTTATTTATTATGAGTGATGTCATAAAGTTGTACCGGTAAGTTTGTGTAGTAGGAAGTTATAAGTGGTTAGTAGTTATTGTTGCAAGTGGGTAATTAGTGTTGTAAATATGGTTGTAAAAAACCTTTATTTAAAATGTTAGTGACAAAATTGGGTCACATGTATTAAAGTTAATCTTGTGCATCATGATTGTAATGCCTCTATAATCTTGAATCCGCCCTCCATGTTTTAAAAGGGTCAACACATTATTCTTTCCCCAGACGCACCTAGAATCTATCATCCATGTCTTAAAAGGTAGACGCTATGTAATAATGTATCCTGTTGGCATTAAACCTGCCCAATCTCAATTCAAAGATGCTAAAATCAAGGAATCAAAACCCAAGGTTCCTCTTACGCTTTAAAGGAATATTACGAATTTAGGATGATTCCCATAGCATTATGAGTTTATCACAACCATGGTAAACGCCCAAAAATTACTAAAAAATGTTAAGGTATGTAATACCTTAAATTAATTATCGTTGTTGGAGGCATCCATTTAGCCAGTTACTAGGTTGATGTTGAGTAATCTGGATTAATAATTCTTAATCTGCACAGACGATTCTCCTTGCTGATCATGAGAGTATCAAAGTCTAATTTTCAGTTTTTTTAAAAGTGCCTATTGGGAATAAGAGGGAACCCATGTGGTTCTGAGTTGGAACTGGGAGTTTGGCTGCTTCCCACATAGTTATCTGGCTCTACAAGGGAACCAGCCAGTTCTGTTCGGGAATCAAGTTCTCATGACTTCTAATTGTTTATTTTTATTTATTTATTTATTTTTTGGACCGAATGGGTCAAATTACTGATCCAAAATGGTTTTTTGGATGGTAGGTTCGCCTAGACGAACCGGGTTTTAAAACACCGACTATTTTTGTACTTCAAGATAATGGGAAATAAAAGAATATTAGAAAAGTAAGTTGGGTGGAAGCTAGGCAATTCGGTCGATCCGGATCACCTTGTTCATGATGCTAATAAAGATCTGATTGCTACAAAATTTTAATTTTAATTTTATTTTTAGAGACGTGGGTTGCTTTTTGGGTTAGTTTTTAGGAATTATATTTATTTTAGAAGCTAAGGTTACAATAAAAAAAATAAAAATAAAATAAAAACAAAAAAAAACTTTTTTAAAATTTTTTTATGGCATCTGTTAATTTTTTTTGGAAAAAGTTTATATAGAGCTGAGGCTCTAAACAATAAATTGGAGCTCACCTTAAAAATTTCACTAGAAGAGGTTATTTTGATATCCAAATATCCTCAAATTGATCATCCTGACATCAAGATGGATAGACAAGAGAAAAAAGTGGATTTCAAATTTTTGAAATAGTGCATCTTGTAAAGCATTTTTGGACCGTCAATTTTCATGATTTGAAGTTTTTATACACCCTTTGATCTGCATTGTTTTTTAAGTTTAAATTTTATAATTAAACATGAAAATATATTTTAAAGCTAATACACAGATTTCTAGTATTGAAACCATATTCCTCGACACTATTTGAAGGTATGATTTACTTTGATTGTTTAGATCCTTGGCTCTATACAAACCGCACCTTTTTTTTAAATTTTTTTTTATATTTAGTTTATTATTTAAAAGGCTATTTTTAGAATTTATCTAAATCGTAAGCTTTTAAAAAAATAGGAGGTTACATTTTTTATTTTAAAAGTCTTGTCTTTAACAAATATGAAGACTAGCTGATTACGGGATTTTTTTAGAAAGTTGATGTTATTGTTTTTTTGGATATAAATAAATTGGATAAGGAATATGGAGATAGAATTTTATAATTTATCTTTAGAAGAAAGGAACCGTTTTTTATGGAGAACCCTCTAGAAGGGAGATATAAACTTGAAATAGATGAATTTTGGTTGAATGGAAAGATAATAGCTTGATGTGGAGAGGGAAAGAGAGTTGTCTCTTGTTTACTCTTCATGGTGCGTGAGGAGATCTCGACTCCTACGTCTATGATTTCGTTTTACTGATTTCTTCTTAATTTTTTCGTTTCCCTCTGGAATGAGGTTGTATTTACCAGTTGTTGTTGTCGGTAAATTTTCTGCTGCTTCAATTCCCTTATAGAACCCGGAGAGTCCCTCTAAGTTGGATCAGTTCCACATTCCAATTCAATCCCCCATCCATCTCTATCTAGATCGTTGATTCCCAATCCATTTACCCAAAAAAAGATCCCAGATCCCGATACACAATTTTTAAATGTTGAATAGAACTTAAAAGTTAAAACCAAAAGACAAACAACTTCACTCGCTAGTTAAGAAAAAAAAAAATCAAATTAGAGTCCACCTTCAAATAATGTCAAGAAATCTGGTTTTAATACTAAATAATTTTGTAATAGCCTTAAAATGTATTTTCGTCTTTAATTATAAAATTTAAAGATTAAAAAATAGTGTAGATCGAGCAAATCTATGAAAACTTGAAAATCTTGAAAATTGCCGGTCAAAACATGTGCTACAAGATGCACTATTTCTAAAACTTGAAATCTATTTTTTTCTCATGACCATCTATCTTGATGTGGAGATGATCAATTTGATGATAGTTGAGTATCAAAACAACTTTTACTAGTGAAAATTTTGAGATAGGTTATAATTTGATTCTTTAGAGCCTCCATGTAAACTTTTCCCTTTAGTATAATAGCGTCGCAAGATTAAATGGACCCTTCAATTTTTAGAGGACAAGATCTAGGTGTTTTCTTCAAATAATCATAGTGATTCTTATGTGGAATGGAACCCATGATTTTAAATACAAAGAGTTTTCCCAGGTAGCTCTTTTGGTTGATGCTGTTAATATATAGTATGCCCCCATAGGAGCACACTTGCAGGTAATTAATTTCAACATTTTGACTATACTATACTCCCTCGGGAGCATCTATGCCTCAGTAAGAAGACCTACTTGGAAAAATCTTTTAATATGAAAAAAAACATAAATTTTTTGAAAAGAAAAATATATGTTTTAAGGGTCTTGGGGACCACCTAAGAACTCACCGTCCAAAAATTAAGGGTCTTGTTCAATCTTGAGGCATTATTTGTTTTCTTGTGTATAGATAGTCTAATAAAGAAAATTTTCTTATTGAGATTAACTTATAGGTTGAAGAGGTTACCCCACTCCTTCAAAATTCAGGGTTCTAAAATTACTCTTAAATTGAAATTTACCCAGAGAGTAAATGGATAATATTAGGAAGTATAAAATATTTTGGGATATCTAGTGTCGGCAAATTTTTTGGGTAAGCTTTCTCTACTGCATAAAACTTATATATTTTTCCTTATCCAAGTGTCTATTCTAGATGGGCACCTGAGATTGTCTCAATCACAATGACACGTCTCAACATTATTTTACTTTTTATTTTTTTCTACAGAATATTTTGATACTGAATTTTGAGCGTCCACTCCTCTCTTAAACTCATACTTGTAAAAAATATAACAAATATAATTTTAATAAATAAAAAATAGCCCAAAAAGTTTCAAGGGATATTTAATCATTATATTTAAAAAATTATTTTTAATTTTTTTTTAGGTGCACTCTATTTAGTAGATGACATGTACCAATTGTTATATTCATACAATTTGTTAAAAAAAAGCTAAAAATAAAATATTCTAAAGTATCGGATCTAGATCCAACGATCAGTTGCGCACTTGATCTGACGGCAGGGTGGGGAAGTGTACAACTTCTATGCTGCAAGAAGTATAGAAACCATTCTCTTTTTTTGTTTTTGGTAATTGAGTGGAAAAAAAGTGCTTGTGGGTGGTCCGAGCGGGATCGAAAACCACAACGTCGAATCTAAAATACCATTTTCCATAGACCAAAATCTCGTCACGCGAAAATCAACCTGTCAATAAATCGTTGCAAACAGGGCTTAGAACTCCCCATTCACCAACAAAATTTTAATTTCTCACTCCAATTTCTTTCTCTCTCTTATTCTAATGCTTTGTTTATATTATCGCGTCACTTTCCCACTAAATTACAAGCACAAGCACAAGTGTGTCTTCGTAGAGTCTCACATGGGGAATTATCAGTCACTCTCTCTGCAATAACATAAGGAATCATCCCTCTCTCTCTACAATCACATGAGGAATCATCCCTCTCTCTTTCTAATCCATTTTGCAATTGCATTCATTTCTTGAAGCACTGACTCCTTTCTCTCACTACAAAAACCCACTTTTCCTCCCCATTTGCTGCCGGTATAACGCTTTCTGTTTCATGTTACCATCCCACCCATTGGGCATTTCATTATAAGGAGGAAGCTCTTTGTCTCTCTCACAAAGAAACCCCCACTTCTTACTCCTCTGTTTTTCCCCTGTCTTTCTCTCTCTAAAGAAAACTCCATCTTGGAGTTCCTTCTGGAGCACTCGAAGGCCTCTCTCTCGCTTCAACAAAGAAGACCCATCTCTCTCTCTCTATCTCGTGAGAGCTCTCTGACTTCCCCTATCTCTCTCTCTCTCTCTCGAAAGAGGTACCATTTGCTCAATTTTTTCGATTTCGAACCGATAGATATGAAGGAAGAAGGGGAGAAGAGGTTTGCGCTTTTGCAAGCCTGCAAGGATTCGGATTATGTGAAGAAGAGATATGGGGGTTACTTCAATGTGTTTTTTGATGCCTATGGAGAAGAGGGGCAAAGGTGGGATCTGTATAGAGTAGTTGATGGGGAGTTTCCTGAGACTGAAGAGCTTGAAAAATATGAGGGTTTTGTGATCACTGGAAGCGCCTTTGATGCCCATGGAAATGAGCTTTGGATCTTGAGGCTTTGCTTGTTGCTTCGAACCCTTAATGCCATGCAAAAGAAAGTGTTGGGGATTTGTTTTGGACTCCAGGTTTGTATGTATGTATGTCTGTCTGTTAAGCATGTGTGTTAAGCCATTAAATCTCTTGATTTAC